CATTGTCAACACTATCATCAACAACCATCATCTACCAAGGAGAAAAAGGAAGAAAAGTGAGAAAAATCGTTGCCAACTCGCGGTCTTCTCGCGACTGCACTGCGCGGCTTTACGTTTTTGGCTCGTTTTGGCTCGTCCGAACTCGGAATTGAGTTCCATTTTTTCCTACGCGTAGCTAACAAACCCCTCTATCCAATGATGCTTTAAAACCACACTTTTGCCCAGGATTCAAATTTTGTGGAATTTCCAACTTTTAAAAGGGTCGGTAACTTGCACGGCTTCGCATTTTGGTTCCGTCCGGATTCATCCGAACTCGAAATCAAATTCCGGTTTTTCCTATGTGTAGCCAATAAGTCCACCATGATTGCCCGGTCTATAATAGACTCCTCACGAGACTTTCGACCTGCACACCAAAAACGAAGAAAAACCGGAAAAACACACGAAAAACACAAAGGAAACCAAAATGGAACAAAATACATAATAAAACACAAAACTAACTAAAAACTAACAAAAAGACTTAAAACAGGGAAAAAGAATTACAAAACAATAACGAAAAACGTAACAAAAATAGTACAAACAGGTGTTCCCCCACAAGAGGGAGCAAATGTATTTATAGTATCCTCCAAAAACACACACTAGATGCTCACACATTTAAGTAGCGGGGTCTCAAAAGCTATTTCGCAGCGAGTGTAGAGAGGAGCAAGGGCATCCTCGGGTCCAACTCGCTGGGTCGCGAGCACTCGTTCGCAGCGAGTGTAAGTGATAGTGCAGGTTCTATGTTGCTCAATCACAGGGTTGCGAGCCTCCTTTCGCAGCGAGTATTGGTGCTGGACAGGTATCGACCCACGCGCTCGCTAGATAAATCTCGCAGCGAGTGCACAGACGATGGGCGCGGTTCTCGGGCGCTCGCGAATCCAGGTTCGCTATGAGTGTGTGGTGATGGGTACGGATTTTGCAGGCACTCTCACGCGGTCGCGAGACGAGGCTCGCAGCGATTATTGGTGTCGAGCAAGTGTCGACTCGCACACTCATGATATAGATCTCGCAGCGAGTGCGCAGGCGATGGGCGACTCTTGGTCGCTCACGAAGCCGATTTCGCAGCGAGTGTGGCATTGGCCTCGGGGCATGTATCGCATGCTCGCGAATTGGATTTCGCGGGGAATGTGGCACGAAACTCGACTTCTTCACTCGGGTGACTCAATGGCAATCTCTTTCTTTCGGTAGCTCGGATGGCTTGATCAAGTGGCTCAAATAACTCGCCTCGAAATGGCTCGGATGGCTCGTTCTGGAATGGCTTGGAATAGAGAACACAGACAATGGTTCGGACAATAGCTCGTCTTCCCAAACGTTAATAAGTGACCTAATCAACACCAAAAGAGACAAGAAAATACGCCGAAATGCAAAAACACAAGACGAAAACGAAAATGCATAAAACACGATAAAAAGGACCGGTTGAAATAAAAACGAACCTAAAATGACTCGACTAAGGCACATAAAACACAAGAAAACACCACAAAAACATAACAAACACCTATTCCCCCTCTGAAACTCTTCCATATATGTGAATGTTTCACCCATTACAACTCGGATTTACAATGAAGACTCCCTCTTCACTACCTAAGTTGTAATCACTCACTATACTACTTTTTCAACCACAAATCCCTTGTGGATTTTTACAACTCAAATCCTTTGAGTTCGTTATAAGTATTCCTCCCGAACACTTGTACAAATAGTTTCAAATGAATAAACTTTCAGCCTCACTGAGATTGAGAACAGGCTCTCGACTCCACTCAAATAAAAATAAAAATCAAGGTCTTGAAGAAAAAAATCTCTCAAGTCGTTCATCTCGGTTCTCTCCTTTCGGCACAATCCCTTCTCAATAATTATCTCTCTGAAAGTTATATTTCCAATCGTGTTTGGAAATCTTTATATCTTTTCATAATACGGTAAGTCTGCTTGATTTCATCAATCTCATAAAACCGCGACCAAGCTCTTCCGGATATCTTCTCTCCTTCCCAAGTCTTCTTCTGGATGGTAAGTGGACTTGCAATATTTTGCTGGCATATATACTGCTGGCAAAATAACTTTATTCTCAGAGTTTCAATTGCTTGAGTTTTCTCCATACAACCTTGTTTGGACAGTATCAAACCACTCTCAAGGATGATAGTTTGAGTCTTGTCATAGTCCAATTCAACTTTCTTTTGATGAGAGAAGGAAGAAGTCAGTTGATCATTGAGGACCCATTAATCTCCCATATCCTTTAAACTTTCTTATTCAGATATTCCACTTCTTCAGTTGAGACTTTAGCCTGAGACTGAATTTTAAGTGCTTTGATTTCATTACGAAGGTTCTTCACTACTTCAGCAATACACAAGCATTTTTCCATAGCTAGTGAGTGTATAAGATCCACACGGTTATTTTGGTCTGCATCATCATCAAATTCATCAGAAACATAAGTATGTGTTTGAGATGCATTCATACTTTCCTCAAATTTTGGAAAACTATGAGTGGATGAAAGGCACAAAACTTGTTTTCAACTGAATGAACCGCCATGTTACTTGTTCGTGCTGTAGGTTCATCAGATTCTTTCTCATCCGAGTCATCCCAAGTCGCCTTTAGAGAGTTATACTTCTTCTTACGGTTAGCACTCACATCGTGAAAGTGCTCAAACCCTCAAAATTCTCGGCATTGATCCTTCTCAATCTTTTGAGTATCTGATTTGGAGAAAGGAATAATGGTTCGCTTCTCCTTAGATGAGTTCTTGTTATTGCTATTGAACTTCTTCCAAGCAAATTTATTTTATACAGGGTGTTGATACCCAATTTGGTCTCGATTAATAAATATGCTACACGGGGATATGTATTAAATAAATATAAATATAACCGGTACTCTGAGCTGGTTATTTAATATCGACCGAGTTCCCAAGTGCCTAGATCATCCACGTTCGAGCCGAGCAAAATTAATATCATCAGCCCGACCCGAATATCGAGAAGATCCGACTCCGATAGACATAATAATTGTCGAAAAAGTAGATGTCAATCGAAGCCGTCAAGTGTCACAATCGGGCCCCGCGATGTCATCTCACATTAAATACTATTGTCCCCTTTATCTATATTTTAATAGGTCCACTTGTGTAGAAAGGGATGGATATATATATGGCCATGTGAGAGAAAAGGGGGGAGGGGGGGATCTATTCACTATTCCTCCATCTTCTACAACACAACAAAAATCAAGTGAAAATGAGAGATAATCGTCTCCTCAAAACCAATAAAAAAGGCACTTTGTTTCAACACCGATTATTCACAGAAATAGGGGTATATTTTTCGTTGATACAATTTCGTTTATCAACACAGGGTTTGACGCATTTTACCATAGTTCCTGACAAATAGGGAAAATGTTTCCTTGAACTTAACATCTTCCTTTAGTGAACCTTCATCCTCGTCACTTTCTTCAGGATTTGACACAACAACCGCTGTTAGGGCCAGACTTTGTCATAATTGTTGTTTATCTCGAACGTTCTAGAATCACCAAGAAGGTCATCTAGATCCATTGGCTTGACTCTTTGAAAGCTTTCAAGAGCCGTGACCTTCTACCTAAAGCGTGCTGGTAAAGTTCTCATAATCTTTTGAACTTGACGTTGTTGGGATCTGTGAGGATCTCGTTATGTACAAATCACGAATTCAATAGCAAACGTAAACCTATGCGCAACGGAAGTAGGGTCGCGCGATCGTGTACAGCAGCCGTGTGGATCGCGTCGCCGGTGGTCGCGAGTCGTGTCGCGTTGCGGATCTCCTCGTCGGGTCGTGTCGCGATCTGCGGCTGTCCGTCGGCTCCGACTTGCAGCGATCGGCGGCTGGTTGGTTGCTGGTCGACGGTCCTCGGGCTCAGGCTCGTGGTTCGTCGATTGCTGTAGAAGATTATCGGGTCTCGATTACCTATGAATCTTCTACTGTATTACTCAACCACCCTTCTTCAACTTGTACCAGTGGAGCAACAAGAATAAGATAAAGCTCGAATTAGAACCGAGAGAGAGTATGGGGGGCGCGTGTTTCAGGTGAATTATGAGGGATTCTCTTATCATGAGCTTAAGAGATTAGAAATAGAGCTCCTTAATTAATTAGACTAATTGTTGGCTAAACCCACTCTTCTAATTAATTAAATAATATTATGGGCCACCAACATAAATATTATTGAACTTCCTTTTCCTAGCCCAAATTTCATTTGAAACCCCAATTATAATTACTCGATTTACCTCCCCACGTTTACGATATAATGTCTATTAATTAATTCAATTATGACAATCAAGAATTAATTGATTTATTATTATTTCACCGAAACTAGAGCTCGTTCATAACATTCTTACTATGTCGGAATTTAATTCACGTTTAGCATAATAATCCTTCATGAACTCACTCCTGGGACATCATCAAACTAAAGCACATGGTGACCGTAAATATCCTAATAGCACATATTATCTATATAATATTATCCAAAACAGTAGCAATAGTAATCCAACGAACTAAACCTTACCTAAGTGAATCAAAGTAATGGAACTTAGATATGGCCACCGGGGCAACCGGCCCGCCGACCCGGCACGGACCCGGCCCGGTCAAACCCTTTGACCGCGTGTCCAAACCCGGCTCGGATTTCAAGCGGGCCGGTCCAGGGCCTTCTTTTTGTCGACACTGACCCGGTCGAGCCGGGTCCGATTCAACATGGGAAAAATGAACTGTTTTTGAATTTTTCTTTTTTTTTTTTCCTTTTTTTTTTTTATTTTGCCGGGTCAGACCCGGGTCGGTCCTGGCCCGACCGACCGGGTCATGAGCCTGGCACGAATTTAGGGCGTGCCGGTTCAGGGTCGTAGTAACCCAACCCTTCGGCCCGGCCTGCCATTTGACAATGTCTAAATAGAATTGGAGTGAACATTGTTAATTTTATATTATTTTATTCATGTCATTGAAGATGGGTTTATTACATTCCACATAACAAAATTAGACCCAATACATTGTATGGGTAGATAGCTCGACACGCCTTCTCAAGTTTCTTCCATTTTCGAGAACACAAAACAACATACGCGGGTTAAAATCTAGCAGCGCGGTGGGGAGGCGGCGTCACAGCGAGCGGTGAAAGGTGATCGAGCGACGACTGCGTGCGGCGAGAGGTGAGGCGGCGGCACGGCGAGCGGTGAGGTGGCGACACGGCACACATAGTGACTCCGACTTCGAACGGCGAGGCAGGTAAATTGATGGCTGAACTGAACTTTTACTTTGCTATGAAATTATCATGAATTCTGAAATTCATGGCTGAACTGAAATTCTGAAATCAAACCCTAACATCTCTTTCCCAGTAGCCCATTAGCCCAATTCAGCTCGTTTATTGTTCAATCATTGTGTTTTTATCTTTTCTTTTCTGTCTGCAAATCAGAATAATCTTAGTTTTCAGTGATGAATTTTTAACTTTAGTCCCCATCCTTTTTGTATGTATAATTATACTTACTTATTTGGTCATCTCATTTGTGTTGGTGCACTAGACAATCTGCGGACGATATTTTAAGGAATCTAAATAATGGTGGAACTGGAACAGCAGCAGAGCCCTACTTCAGGTATCCATTATTTTAGCTGTGTTTCTTGGATCTTGTTTATAAAACTCATATGATTTAAGAAATAAACATAAAAATTACGCAATCATGTTAAACAGTTATGTAGGACTACATCGTATTTAGACGTAGGTCATTAATTTGTGTGAAGTTTATTACAATTTATCAGTTGGAGGTAATGTCATTGTCCACTCTTATCCAAAACCTTTTTTTGTTTACAGGCGGTTGTATACGTCAATAGAGTTACATTTTTTCAGATTGTTTTAGTCTTTTAACGTACCGAAAGATGTTTTATTTTTCATCTATCCTACCTTTTTACCTCAAACTAATTCACAATGCCTTGTGTTAAAGGACCTATTTGGGTTGCAACGGAAATTGCGTAGCTCAGTGAACTATTATCCCTGAATCTATTTTCATTTGACAGTCTTCGAATTTTCACTTTACACATTATTTATTTGCTTCATTCATATCGTTTATCCCATGAGTAACCTTATTTTATGATTGAATGTGTGAATCTTCTTATTAGTTAAGAGATTCTATTTTTTCCTAGTCAGTTAGTCATGGATAAATAATTCAAGTTTGATGTGATTAGAAATTAAAAACCCCAAGTGATAGAACACGTAAAAATGTGCAGATCGAGATAGTGATGATGATATTGTCACTGAAGGTGCCTCAATTGTGCATGGAGAGCCTCCCCAAGATGAAAGTGGGCCTCCTAAAGTAGATACTAAATTAGAAGTTCTCCATGAGAAAGTGACTAAGCAAATTATCAAGGAAGGCCATGGTCAGAAGCCATCAAAATATTCTACTTGCTTCTGTAAGTCTGTTGAGAAAACTTTTAACCTCCTTGAACATCTTCTGACATTTCAACTCAAGCTATCAAATAAGTTATAGAATTATGTGAGTTTTGAGAGAAAAGCATGCCCTTGAAGTCACTTGTCAATTGGCCTCTCATCATCTAGTGCAACAGACGAGTCTCATCTTCAGAAAGATTTGAGTCAAAATTATCCTTATTGTGCTCTCCTGTGAAAGAATTACAGGTAGTAATAATCAATTTGAAAAACTAATCCATTCCACTCTTATTTTGTCCTTTCTGGCAGTGCATTACAGGGCATGGACTGAAAGCACCCAACACAAGTTTGAAGATACATGGCATGAACAACAACTGCTTGAGCTTATCCTAGGAAAAGGTTTGCTCAAGAATTTTCCAAACACTTGCCATCTCTTTTCTGAGCTCCTAAAGGCTAAAACTCATTATCAGTTACTGCAAAACTTACTATGATTCTCTAACTACATGTGACATGATCCATTCTTAATGGGAAGAATAAATAAAATTTCAGCAAAAAGTTGATCCTTTATTATTAGCTTTCATTTTCAAGCATCGACTTTTTTGTTGTTTGAAAATTTGATAAATTGTCCTCGACTGCAGAGAAAAAAGAAATGACTGGGTTGGCAATTGGCGTTTCCTGTATGAAATCTGGTGAACGTGCCTTGCTGCATGTTGGCTGGGAACTAGGCTATGGAAAAGAAGGAAGCTTCTCTTTTCCAAATGTGCCTCCAATGGCGGACATCGTGTATGAAGTTGAATTGATTGGTTTTGATGAGACCAAAGAAGTGCGTATTCTCTACCTACATTCATGAACACCTACTTACATGCTCAAACCTTTTTTTTTTTTTTTTTTNTAATATTGATCAAAAAAATTAACAGCTTTGGTGATTGAATTTTTGTGAAAAGGGAAAAGCACGAGGTGACATGACGGTGGAGGAAAGAATTGGTGCTTCTGATAGAAGAAAGATGGACGGCAACGCATTGTTCAATGCGGATAAATTGGAGGAGGCAATGCAACAATATGAAATGGTAAAGAAAGCACTCTTCGTGAGCAGTTGATTTGCTAGTTTTAATTTCTTCTTTTCCGTAAAGCTGTTTTTGCTTTGTCCTCTAGGCCATAGCATATCTGGGAGATGATTTCATGTTCCAGCTGTTTGGTAAGTACCGGGATATGGCTTTGGCGGTTAAAAACCCTTGCCACCTCAACATGGCAGCATGCCTGATAAAGTGCAAGCGTTACGAAGAAGCCATTGCGCAGTGTGGTATTGTACGTACGAATTTTGATTCACTTACTTATGACTTACTAGTGTTCTGGAATATTATTGCACGTTTTTCCAGTTTAGACTTTAGAAGGAAAATCACATCCATCTCAACCGTAGTATACTATATTTAGGATGAAAAAAGGAATTTGAGAAAAATACTTTTTGTCCATTTGGCATGTATAAGTGATGACATGTCTTGTAAATCTGCAATCATTACAAAGTTTCCAGTTCTTCCTTGGATCAAGCAAAAATAAATTAGGCATTTAAATGAGAACATACTTGCAAATGGTTGAGGACCCTCATGTGAAAAAATGTTGCAAAGAATAACCGTAAAAATGCTTGGCTATATATTGCTCCTAAAAGATTAAATATCCTAAGCCGACATGCTGCCTGCTTATCTAACCCATTATTTTTATTTGTTGTTCTTTATTCTATAACTTATTACTAGATATTGTTTCTAATGCCATATTGAGCTGCCACTTTAATGTTTATCATCAAATATAAAATGTCAGGGCGCGCTTGTTTATCAAATAATTCGTTCAAAATGAGATATTTTGGTTGACCATAATTAATTTTGGTTAACCATAATTTATTGCTCTCTCGACTAATGATTTTATTCACCTCCATCATTATCAAGTTGCTTTTCTCCATAATTTTTTTTTTCTCTTTTCCTTAAGCCAGCTTTCAAATAGTTAAGTAACTCGATTATGGCAGGAGTAAGCAACTTATGACAGATAATTGGATTTCTAAATGACTTAAGCTGCTGATTGGGCAAAATAATTCTCTTGCAGGTTTTGGTGGAAGAAGAAAACAATGTGAAAGCCCTTTTTCGGCGTGGCAAGGCTAGAGCTGAGCTCGGGCAGACAGAAGCAGCCCGTGAAGATTTCCTCAAGGCACGTAAATATGCTCCACAAGACAAAGCAATTGTGAAGGAGTTGCGTTTGCTTGCCGAACACGACAGAGCTGTTTACCAGAAACAGAAAGAGATCTACAAGGGGTTGTTTGGGCCGAGGCCCGACCCAAAACCAAAAGCAAAAAATTGGCTGGTTTTGATTTGGCAGTGGCTGCTTTCATTATTTTATCGACTTTTCAACAGGCAGAGGCAGAAGGCTCAATGATTGTTCGTTCCTTCTCATGAGTCGGATAGATTTATGGAAGCACATGCATTTTGACGTGAATCTATATGACTGATTTATGAATGCAAGCCTATGCTTCTTATTGTTAGTGAACTATTTGTCGGTGAAGTGGAACTTTTGTTTGTAACATTATTAAAATGTATGAAAGTGAAGGTGAAGCTCAATTTGGATGCTCTCTTATTGGATAACTTCCCAGACTAAAATTGGTGCATGTAATAAAATCATGTGTGTCACCGCTTCCTTAGGTTTTACAGGTTAATTTTTGCAAAAATAAAATAATATATTCAGCTTGTCTTTTCCCAGAAATGCTCTTGCAGAGCATTATCAAAATTCGTTTTCTTTTTGTTTAAATACATCAGCTATCAGTTACCTCACAATTCTAAGCTAAACACAACACAATTCCATTGAATTCGAAAGTCGTAACAACTTTTACAATTATAACAACATATGTTGCATGACTTCACTACAAAATTTACGATTAAAATAGGAAAGCTTAAGTGCTACATGACTCGATCAGGGGGGAAGTTTACAGATAGATATGAAGGAGCAAAACATAATTCATCATGAAACCTTCTAACACCAGACTTCAAATTATTGGAAGGATATACAAGAGAAGAAAAGGAAAAAAATATTTAATAATTGGAAAAAAAATAAAATAAAGGAAACATCAAATATCAATCATCATGGTTGACCAAGCATGGACATCAATGCACAATAAGCACAGACAATCTTCTGTGACATGTAAACATACACAGCAAATGATAAGCTCATTAGTGTTATGTCCTTCCAATCTCCCTTGCCTTTTGGACTCAAATTATCCTTTATTCCCTTGCCAATTTCATCCATACCACCCAAAAGCTTCTGCATTATTAATCTCTTCTCTTCCTTGATCTTCCTATTTGTTTTTGCATTAAACCGGTTGTTAGGATCGCGAATTTGGCCTGAAATTGCTTTCAACATTCTTGAAGATCTTTTGTTACCAATGATAGGAGTTGGTTTGTGTTTAAAGGGGCATAAAGGGCCATTTGATAAGGCAGCCATGGGAAAAAAACAGCTGTATAACATGAGAATTATGTATGTGATTTGAAGATTTCAGCTTTGAGGAAGACGAGCAATGACAGATTTCTTCTTCTACTTCTTCTTCTTTTTTTTTTTTTTTCTT